GGTGCAGCGGCGGCCAATAGCTGGCTTTCAAGAGTTGAGACGACTGGGCTGATGAGGGCGGCAAGTGCCCGGTGCGGTGAGGGAAGGAAAGAAAAGTCGCCGCCGCACAGGGCCCGACGTCGAGAAGGTTGATTCGCCGTGGTAGTCGGATGTATCCAATCTGTTAGGGAAGGCACAAACCACGGACTGGAGATGATGTGTGTGACGCTAAGCCGAGATGAGACAAATCCAGTGAGCATCGTATCCAGCAGGCGGGAGCCCAGGAGGAGGGGAGGAGCCATGCACTTGCCTTTTCCATTTTTAATTTACATGTCACGATTCGGCCTATTCTTGTTGGCGCCGTTTCCCCTTCCTCTTCTTTTTCTACGAACTCCCCCTCCTACTCCTGCCTGGGTTCCTTTTCCCGTCTCTCTCACACCTTACCTTAATTCATACCACTCGCTGACAGACAGTGTCACTCGCCCGACCGCGTCGCGCCTGTGCCTGTGCCTCTTGCCTGCTTCTCGTATCCAAACCACGCCTGCCTACTTCACGGAAGGTGCGAATACTGATCGAGAACACCGATTATCCCGGCATTCACCACCATACTTCTCTTCTTGTCACTCTCTCACCACGCCAACAAAAGTGTCTCACTTCTCGTCTTTGGCTTACCCCATAACCAACCTTCATCTTCACGTCACTCCTTGGATTCGCACCAGCGAACTAAACGAATATCGCCGTACGGTACGACTTCTACGCCAGAGTCTAATATCCCGATACCCTTCAGCAAACAACAGAACAACGTCGCATTCACCCTGCGCGTACTGCAACCATGCTTGTAAGTAAAAATCCGACCGCTCTGACGCCTTCCCCTCTCCATTGGCTCGGTTGGCGCACCCGAGGAGGTTGTCTCTTGTCGCAGCCATCCATCGCGGCGACGATCAGGGCGCAAGAGACTCAGCCAACACCTGTCGTGCCACGAGCACATAGCCAACCCCCATCGATTGGATCTTGCAGCCTGCAAACGCCTCCTCGTCGATCACCCTCCACCACTACCAGCCCTACATCGTCGACCTGCAGAACGCCCAACTCTAACATGACTTCAATAGGTTCACTCTGCCCTCATCGCACTTAGTGCGACCCTGGCTGCTGCCGTCAAGCCCCTCTCCGTCAAGGGCAATGCCTTCGTAACCGAGGGCGGCGAGAAGTTCCAGATCGTTGGTCTCGACTACCAGATTGGCGGCAGCGCTGGCTACGATCCCAAGCACAACAAGGATCCCCTCAGCGACGCTGATGTCTGCATGCGCGATGCTGCCCTCCTCCAGCGTCTCGGTGCCAACACCATCCGTGTCTACAACTTGGACCCCAACCTGAACCACGATGCTTGCGCCTCCATCTTCAACGCCGCTGGCATGTACATGGTCCTCGACGTCAACTCTCCCCTGGTTGGCGAGAGTATCTCCAGTTTCGAGCCCTGGACCAGCTACTACGCCGCTTACATGAACCGCACCTTCGCCATCGTCGAGGCTTTCAAGAACTACCCCAACACCCTGGCCTTCTTCTCCGGCAACGAGGTTATGAACAACGTTGAGACTGCCAGAGATGTCCCCCCTTACCTGCGCGCCATCACCCGTGACTTGAAGAACTACATCTCCAAGCACTCCGACCGCAAGATTCCCGTCGGCTACTCCGCTGCTGACGTTCGCTCCATTCTCGTCGACTCTTTCAACTACTTGACCTGCGCCGAGAACGGTGACGCCAACGACCCCAGCAAGGCCGACCTCTTCGGCCTCAACTCCTACTCCTGGTGCGGTGAATCCAGCTTCAAGACGTCCACCTACGACCAGCTCGTTGCCGACCTGAAGGATACGTCTGTGCCCGTCTTCTTCTCTGAGTTTGGCTGCAACAAGGTTACCCCTCGCGTCTTCACCGAGATTCAGTCTATCTACGGCTCTGACATGAACTCCGTCTTCTCCGGCGGTCTCGTCTACGAGTACAGCCAGGAGGACAACAACTATGGTATCGTCAAGGTCAACGACGACAAGTCTGTCAAGCTTCTCGTCGACTACGACAACCTGGCCACTCAGTACAAGAAGGTCGACTTCAAGACCCTCCAGGCTACTAAGGCTTCCTCTTCCTCGCCCAAGGCTCCCAAGTGTGACTCTTCTCTCATCACCGAGAAGGGCTTCAACAACAACTTCACCCTGCCTGCCGTCCCCCCTGGTGGTCAGGATCTGATCGACAACGGCATCAGCCCCAAGCCCTCCGGCAAGATCATCACCATCTCTGACTGGTCCGTCAAGTACAAGGTCTACGCCTCCGACGGCACCACCGAGCTCACCAACCTCGCTGTCTCTCCTCTGTCTGGCGATGACTCCAACACTCCCGGTACCAACACCGCCGGCGGAACCCAGGCCGCCACTGGCACTGGTGCTGCTGCTACCAGCACCCCTACCTCTACCGGCGGCGCTACCAGCGCCGGAGTTTCCATGCGTCCTGAGGTTATGGCCCTGGCCGCCCCTCTTCTTGCTCTTCTTTTCTTGTAAAGTTTTCATGAGTACAGGATTTGGTACTTGGCTTAATAGTCAGCTTGGAGGTTATGAATTGGTTTCTTTCTGGCGACATAGATTCCCCGCGGTTTGTTTATAAACCTGAATAGATGCGAATGCGTCATTGATAACATTCTCTTCTGTACCCTATGCTGTGACGTGAGGTTAATGTGCCGGGGCCAACAGCTCCAATGCGACTCGAGCCATTCCGCATTTCAATATTGGTTGGCAGACGATGGCTCGGTAGAGTTGCGGCATCACTCCAAGTTTGGATATCGTGCGCCGACCCTGTCTGTTCCATAAGGCTGAGTTCTGCAAAGTGCGAGGTCAAGCCAGGGTGCCCATTTCACCCTTCACTGCATTTTAAACCCACCGCAAGCGCACCTCAACTTCGCCAAGGAACGGTCTTACTTACTGTCCCACAGCGCTGTTGGGTCTTGAATACTGGCATCAAGCGACTCGACATATTGTTCATCATGGCCTGGTGCATGGAGGTTACCAAGTTAGGGTAGGTTTGAATCTTGAATTGCCATATTGTTCTCAATATCAGATGCGTATCCGTGGTCTCAACACCGGTGATGCTCAACTAACCGTAGGGGTTCATCCCTCAACGGCTTTCACTCACCGCCCGCTGACTCAACGTCCCGAGTCTTCAGCGGCACCTAATTTCTGCCGGCGTTAAGGCCAAGCTAGAGTCAGACCCCCACCACAGCGATGGGGGTACACTACAGTACCTCCCAATGGCTACCTTAGTATCAGGTACTCGACCCCAAGGGATGGATGAGTGAGGTGACTCCCGCTCTTTGTGCGACTGACCGCCCGCCCGCACCGCCCCTCCGTCCCCGAATCCGTGGACCTGACTTTCGAAACTCTAAGGCCTCCTCCCCCCATCCATCGCCTACATCTCCGCCTCCCCTATGCTGCCCCGCCTCCGACCGGTCGCCCGCGCAATCCCACGTCAACCTCCCGTTCCCAGCTTCTCAAGAAGACAGCATCTAGGCACAATGGCTCCCGGTACGTCGCGTGCACCATCGCAATCCACAGCCCGCCCTCCTCCCTGACCGCCGCACGGGGTGCGGAAACAGACGAGAAAAGAAGACTAACACTCTCGAAAACACCAGTCCCCCCCTCCGACCGCCGTCCCCTCGTCATCTCCGGCCCCTCGGGCGTCGGCAAGGGAACCCTCTACAAGCGCCTCTTCGAGAGCCACCCGGACACCTTCGCCCTCTCCGTCTCGCACACCACCCGTGCCCCGCGCCCGGGCGAGGCCGACGGCGTCGACTACCACTTCGTCACCCGCGAGGCTTTCGCTGACCTCGTCTCCAAGGACGGCTTCGTCGAGCACGCCACCTTTGGCAGCAACTCGTACGGCACCTCCAAGGCCACCATTGAGGAGCAGTCCGCCAAGGGCAAGGTCGTCGTGCTCGACATTGAGATGGAGGTACGTTCACACAGCTCGCCTGTATTTCCGAGGCGGAGGTATGCTAATAGGAGTGTTACAAATAGGGCGTCAAGCAGATCAAGAACAGCTCCATCTCCGCGCGCTACGTCTTCATCGCCCCGCCCTCCGAGGAGGAGCTCGAGAAGCGTCTCCGCGGCCGCGGAACGGAGAAGGAGGAGAGCATCCAGAAGCGTCTGGCCCAGGCCAAGGTCGAACTTGAGTTCGCCAAGACGCCTGGCGTACACGACATCACCATTGTCAACGACGACCTCGACAAGGCTTACAAGCAGCTCGAGGACTTTGTCTACAAGTCTTCTTGAAAGGGGTAAAAACTACAAAACTACAAATCGGGCTAGGAGCGGAATCGGACGGGTATATACCGAGGCGTTGGGACTGAATACGAAATTCAGGAAAGAAGAACTATGGGCTTCTTCGACATAGCATGGCGGTCTTTTGTGTGCATTTTAGACTAAAAGCATTCTTATAGAGCCGAGATAGGCAATATATACTGGTCCATTTTGAGGTCACATATCACGTTGCTTGAGGGATCATAAGCCATGTCAGGTGTATTCTCCATGAGGTATCGAAACGAACTCTCTATTAGAGTACGATTGGATTAAAACGTAAGAAAGTGTGAAGTCGAGCAAAGTGCTGCTAAAAGTCGAAGTAAGAAAACAGAAAGTTGCGTCCAGCTGTAAGATGGAAAGGGGGGAATAATGGACTATTTCGCCAGCACAAGTACTTAAACAACGACCACAGGGCCAGAGGGGGTATGACCTATATCCGCGCGCAACGCCGGCATCTTCATTCATCCCACGCAAACTTCTCCCATGTCTTCCGGCGGAGATAGCTGCTGCTGACTCTGCCCTGAGAATTATCGGTCGATGCAGCCTCCGCTTGCTGCCGGGGCCGTGCCGTGCCTTTAATCTGCGCATAACACCATGAGATTGAAAAGTCGTCAGAAAATCCGGCCGCCCAAGAATATCATTGCCTGCTGGCTCCTCGAGTGCGCGGGTGGGGATGTTCGTCAACTAGTATCCGTTCATGGTCATTCGTTGCGAGCTCCGGCTGATTTCCCGGTCGGCGGCAGGGCTGATGGGTCTGCTGCCACCGCCGTGTGCGCTGCTCTCCTTCAGGGCCAGAAGCTGCTTGGCACGGAAAGTCTCGTAGTGGATCTGAGATGTGGTCTCAATGAGGTCCTGGAGATGGGTGCGGAGCAGGAAGTTTCTCAGATAGGTGAACTCGCAGTGGTTCTCGTCCTCGACGTTGATCACGCCCCAGCGGTTCTGGCGGCCACGGACCTGCTTGCCGTTGACGATGATGGACTTCTCGGAGCCAACAACAGCGAAGGGGACCAGGTCCTGCAAGCAGGTTAGCAAATCGATATACAGGGTCTTTGTCTTGAAGGAGATTTCCCACCTTGATCTGAGTGTTGAGACCACGCTCCTCCTCATCAAACTCATCGTTGTCGTAGGGGTACATCTTGAGGTTGTGGAAGGCGAACTCCTCCTTGATGCGCTCCTTGAACTCCTGGCGCTCCTCGAGGGTGAGGGTGTCGGACTTGGCAATAACGGGAACGACGTTGACGACATCGGAGAGCTTCTTCAGGACGACGATATCAATGGGCTTCAGGGAGTGGCCTGAGGGCTGGATGAAGAAGAGGCAGCAGTGGATGCGGGTGTCCTGAATATAGCGCTCACGCTGGGCGGTGAGCTCCTTGCGCAAGTACGCGGAGTGTTGATCCTTGATGTACTTGACAATGGGGTCCCAGCAGCGGTCGTTGTTGACCAGGTCTCCGTAACCGGGGGTGTCGACAATGTTGAGGCGCAGACGGACGCCGTTCTCCTCGATCATGTGAGACACGGCCTGGATCTCGGTGGTGGAGCGGACGGGCTCATCGGGCATCATGCGACCCTTGGAGTCGATGAGGTGGGAGGCGAAGATGGTGTTGATCAGGGTGGACTTGCCCAAACCTGTCTGGCCTGTAATGTGGAGCGTCAGTCGACTGCACCTGTGGTGGACGCGACATCGCGAGGCACGCCAGCCCACCGAGCGGTAGAGAGCAGCGCGGGGACAATTGCACAGAGGAACTCACCGACGCAGATGACATTGAACTGGAAGCCACGCTTCAACAGCTTCTTCTCGATCTGGGACGTGATGCTGTCGAAACCGACGTGGGACTGAGGGTAGATGGTCTGGGGCTGCGCCATCGTGTCTGCTTTTCCCGTGGGGAGCGAAAGTGGTACGAAAAGGTAAGGAGTGAAGCTGAGATACGTTTCTGTATTCCAAGAAAAGTATTCGTCTCGAATTGGGGGCCGAGTCGAGGGTCGGAATGGCAGTGGGCAGGGAGAGGGAAGAAAGAGATCACGAGGTTGCGGTTGGAGAAGGACTCAGGATGTTTCGAAGGAGAACAAGCCGGTGAAGGGTAAAAGGGTAGCGTAATTTCTCTGTGCTGGCACTTGGAGGTGCTTTGCTACCCGTTCCCCCGTGTCTCTCAGTCAGGCACTGGCCGTTGGCTGCAGCTAATAGGTTGTTCCTTCCACCTCCAGCAAACAATAATTTCCCTGCAGGGAGTGTCTACAGGGGTTGGAGGGAAAGGGGGAAAGGGGTCCTCGCCGCGTTGATTGGTTAAGCGCCGTCCGTGCGTGACGTGAGCTGTGATTGGTTGGGGAATCTCAATTGACAGCTCCCCCGGTCGCACGTCTTTTTTTTCCCGGCTTGGACGACAGAGCGAAGCCTCAAATCGTGAAGTGGTGACACTATTGCGCTCGCTACTGCCCTGCTGCCGCGACACCAACGACACCGACCGCCGCCCAAGGCTCAGCAGTACTCTCCAGTCGGAGCGGACGATCGAACATCGAGTATCTGGTTGCTCTTCTCTGCAACAGTCCACAGAAGCGACTGCGATTTCCGAGCACCCTCGCCTGCGAGACGAATTCGAGCCGCACGATATCGAAATGGCCGCCATTGCGATGACCGCGCAGCCCCTGCGCATTCTTCCCCAGATCTCCGCGCCAGCCTTCTCCAGGTCTGCAAGGATATTCTCTCTCTACACCCGCCAGCTCGTCCAGCCCATGTTCCCGACGCTCGCCGCTCTCCCCGCAATCAACCTCAACATCCCCGCATGGCTCGGCGGCATCTGGGAGTCCGTACTCCGGGCAGTACCGAAGAAGAAGACCTCTCACTCCAAGAAGAGGCACAGGCAGATGGCTGGAAAGGCGCTGCAGGATGTGAAGTCTTTGTGCAAGTGTCCTGGATGTGGCCAGGTCAAGAGGCAGCATGTCTTATGCCCCACCTGTACGAAATGTGAGTTGCCAAATTGGGACCTCTCTGGAGGTGGTCTTACTGACATTTGGTGTTATAGCGATCCAAAACCAGTGGAAGGACTTTGAAGCGGGAAAGTACTTCTAAGTTGCCAAAGGGCTGTGTAACTTTTTAAAAGACGTGTATATTCAAGTGTACGACTGGTAGCACCATACGGCGTTCGGGACAATCCATCACCTTAAGACGATAAATCAGAATCGCAGTGACTGCTTGGCGACTTGCCAACTTGTTGCAGAACTTCTCTCGGCTGGTCTCCGATCGAGCCGGCTCTCTGAGGCCCCATCAGCTTGTCGAGACCATCAAACCCGAACTCTCACATTACAAGGAGGGTAGTTCACGCTGAAACGACTGAGACGACATCTTCAAAGGACTTTTGAGCCACGGTGGACCGCCTTCGGGTCATTCAGGGCAACAAACAGGTGTCTGTTACCTTGGAGGTGTGCCGTCACTTCCAACGAGCCAACTTGAAGGAAAATAAATGTACAAGACAGGTCTTAGTCCGACCAACAATGCTTTGGTCGACACAACTGCCTTTGAGGTGCTGGAAACAATGCAACCATTTCTCACAAAGGCATTGTACAAGTGAGAAACTATGCTGTCCTGGATATAAGACTATTGACTTGGTCGACTCCCGATGTGAACAGGAAGTTCAACGGCAGTATCGATTATCAACACACACCTTTGCCAAGCCCACACCTTAGACAATACAGTTGTACACCATGTTCACTGCTCAAACTGCGACGAAGTATCCATATACCGGCTTGGTAGACCTTCCGGTTGAGATTATTCTCCAAATCGTCACTTACATCAGCCCTCCCAGTAAGTCGCATCTGCGGTTGCCTTTTGGCTACACACTCCACAGGACAAATCTTCGAGACGGCATTCGAGACCTCAAAAACCTGACGCTATCATGCACGAGGCTATACGACATGCTCCAGCCGACCCTGTACACCCAAAGTGGTCAAGATGACTGGTACGCTCTTCGTTGGGGCGCTTTCCACGGCCTGACCCGGACGATGGAAGACGCATTCCTGGCCGGAGCACCGTTAAACTGGGTGTACGATGATGTCGACGACTATCATGCCAACAGCTACTGTCGATGTGGCCGCTTCGACGGCGGCCCTGCTTGGTCGAACAACTCCGTATGCTGCACGCTCTTCTATGAGAAAAAGCCCGTACGCAGTGCCTGGACGCCATTACTGACTGCCATTCGCGGCGGGCATCCTGAAGCTGTCGAATGGCTTCTTTCAAAAGGAGCTGATGCTGACTGGGCTGCCAGACCGGAACCCGGACTGGGAGAAATACTCTGTAAGTCTTGCTCTCACAGAGTTAACCGTCCAAGTCTCTTGACTTGCGATGAGTGTGGGATTACCCCAATACAGGGAGCGCTCGACTACTTTACTCACAGCTCGTTTGGGGGGTCCCTTTTGACGGAACATAATCGCGTCAAGGTTCTCAGGAGCCTCATCCAACACGGCGCAAGCGTCAACCAGAAATTCGGATTCATACAATGCCCCAGCCAGGACCTTCACCTACCTTCCTTGCCCGTACAACACTGGAACTCTCTCGGCCTCGCCCTGTGTACACAGACGGTAGGTCCAGCAACTGTGAAGTTTCTCCTCGACAATCGAGCGCACTTTGAGATGGGACCAGAGTCACTCCTAAATCCAGTACTGGCACACAAGTCGCATTGCAGAATTCCACAGCTCAACTGGAAGGTACCCATTAAACTTCCCCTTTTCGAGTGCCATACGAAGGCGCGCGTTCTTCTTTCGAAGCATCAGAGGCACGACAACTGCCATTGCATCCCAAGCTTTGACTCCCTGAACCCGGTCGACCCGCAATCCAGACTTGACTGTGACGAGATCCCATACGCTGGCTACAGAATCCGGGAAGTCTTCGACTTTTTGCACGAGCATGGACTGCCCATCCTCTATTCCCACCTTGACGCGGAGACATCTATGAGAGTGCCTCCGGTGATCAAGGCCGTTCGAGGGCCGAACCCAGAAGCAGTGAGCTTGATCGTCCAAGAGGGCGCGGACCCGAATGCTCGCTGTTGGTTAGGACCAGTTCCCCAAGGCTTTAGATCCGATAGAAGATTAGATGGGCACCTTCCACTGACCTATGCATGTTCCATGGTCGATGATGAGGATGGCCTATACGAAATCGTCCTGGAACTGCTCAAGGGGGGCGCCAGCCCGATGCTGAGAGATCTGCAGGGCCTCACGCCGCTACATGAGCTGTCGCGCAACACTTACGACGAAGCAACTGCAAGACTGCTCATCAATTTCGGGGCGAACGCCAATGGCCTGGACGCCAATGGATGGATTCCATTACACCATGTTTGTGCACAGGCACCACCGCAGCACCCACCGTTTCGCGCGTTTGCGAGCGTTTGCGTTCAAAAGAGAACACCATTGGTCAAGCTTTTGCTGAGCAGAGGAGCTGACATAGAAGCCAGAACCCGCCAGTATGGCCAGGAGCAGGGTAAAACTCCCTCTGAGCTAGCCTTGGCCAACAAGCTGCCTTTTCCGTGGGAGCGTCTTCTGGAAGAGGCATGCAACCGCTCAGGGTCGGGGTTCCATCAAGGACTTGATCCATATTAGTCGAGGACGTTAAGCCAGCTGATTACTATCAGTAGCCTTAAAGTGTTCTGATTTTGGAGGAATTGTCGGGATGGTCGAAGTAATCCTTTAATATTTCGTCAACTCCCTACCTATTTAGATCTATAACAAAAGAAGGATCGGATGGTTAACATGGTTTACTACTTGCAGGAGTTTAATAGTAATTGGTTTTCGGAAGTTTTCTCTTGTCACTATACAAAATGAAGAGAATATTCTTTGGATGGTAACTCAATGGACATGAGGTTGTTGCGGTTGAGCATGCATGGGTCGTGGTGTTTGTTGGTAGCGCCCCTCAATTGCCCCTCCCTGCCAGAAAGCCCACTGCAGGGGTCTTTCTTCGCAAATGTGTGATGTCAGCCCCCACCTTCCTGTTCACATCGCGGTCGCAACTTTCCCATACGCAACCGCGTACCCTCCACAGCGGCACAAGCTTCACATGGACTGGCAGCCATGGTAGGCGAACTCTGAACGAACATCTGCCAAACTTGAGCTGACTGAGATAGTCTAAACAATACCTGACCACACACACTGTGGACAATGGTGCGACATCCGTGGAGCTTGAAGCTCTGAGGAGCTTCCACCTGTTCGTCACGCAGCCCAGCTAACACACTCTCAGCCCACATAACCGACATCTTCGGGCTCGCTGCTACACCCCGAGCCGTTCTCTCGGCCAGCGGTTCTTCGACCCTTCATGTCCACCACACCGCCGACCCTGCGATCCCCATCACTCAGTCCATCAGCGGTGCCCACAAGCTCGGCTGTCACCACATCTGCACCTCGCGCGATGGCCGTGTAGCTGCCAGCGCGGGCTTTGCCGGCGAGCTGAAGGTCTGGGTCGTCGACAAGGACACGGGTGAGTGGAAGCTTCACTCGGAGGTCACCGATCAGAACTCCAAGGCGGGCGAGACATGGGCCATTGCGCTCAGCGAGGACGGCAAGTTCCTGGCAGGCACAACATATGACGGCCGGATAAACGTGTGGGACATTGGCGAAGAGGGAACGCCCAAGATCCGGGAGTATGAGACGGGAAGCCCTGGCTCAGGCAGCTTCGGCATGTCGGTCGACTTGAGCAGAGACGGAAAGTTCACTGCGAGCGGACACCAGAACGGTTCCGTGTACCTCTTCAACAATGACACCGGTCGGCTTGCGTCCTCCCTGCCTGGTATGGACCCATATGTTCTCCTTCGAGACCTCCCAGCTGACCCATGAACAGGATTGGCCAAGCCCGTTCGCGCGGTGGCATTCTCTCCAGGCAACACGAGGCTGGCCGCCGCCGGCGACTCTTCAATCATTGCCATCTACGATCTCAAGCACGGCGAGCAAGTCGGTAACCTGACTGGCCATTCTTCGTGGATCACGTCCATTGACTGGAGCGACACTGGCGAATACCTTCTGAGCGGAGCGATGGACGGCAAGGTCAAGGTTTGGTCAGTCGAGCGCTATGCCTGCGTAGCTACGCACAGCGAGACGGATAAGGCACTGTGGTCTGTCAAGTGGCTTCCCAAGACCGGAAGGAGTGAGATGTTCTGCACTGCCGGAGCAAACAGGAGCATCTCGTTTTACAGAGAGGCCACTGGAGCGTAGAGGAGCAGTGGGACGATAAAAAAAGGCTGGTGTGCATCTCAGATACCCCGGCAAGCTATGCAGTTTCTGCGATATATAGCGTTACATGGCAAAGACAGACGATAGACATGCTGAAATGAAGACAGAGAGGACAGTGTCAATCACAGTGATTCTTGCTTTTGAACACCGTAGAAGGTATGGCGCGCACGTGCCTTCGTACCAGTCTCGCGTTGCCCCGCCAAAATTCAGGCCCCTGCCTCCTTCCCTCTTTCGTCATTCACTTTCACATCCGGACGAGATCAACGAGCGCATTGCGACGACTGCGATTGGTGACATTACCTGAAGTGATCTCTATCAGAACTACCATACATCTGTCTCTGCAGCATTAAGAGCATCATTGCGACGAATATCTGACCTGCTGCGCCCATACGACTTCGACAGCCACTCACTACCCCGGTCACCAGTGACAACCAACATCCACAATGCCCACAACTCGGAGATCAACAGGCGGCGCCCGAGCCCGACCCGGCCCGGCTCGGGGCCAGTCGACCATCAGCTTCTCTCACAAGGTCTCGAAGCTGGTCCCGAAGGATCTGAAGAAGGCGGCCGTCCTCGGCTCCGCTGTCGAGAGGGCCGAGCAGGCCAAGAAGGAGGAAGCTGTGCAGGTCGATGAGATCCAGGTTGACGAGCCCGAGACCAAAGAGGAAGACGAAGTAAAGGAAGAGGTCCCCGAGAAGTCGGAGGCTGTCATCCGCGCTGAGAAGATTAGCGATGCGCAGATCAACAAGTACTGGAAGGCGATCGAGGCTGAGCGCATTGCGCCCCGGGTTCACCAGAAGGATGTGACTTTGGCGGAGAAGGTGCTACGGTACTTTGATGTGAGCTCGGAGTATGGCGTAAGTCATTTCTTGATCTGGTGTGTTGGAGTGGGAACGCTGACAATTGTGTAGCCGTGTATTGGTCTGCAGCGCATGAAGCGTTGGGAGCGGGCTGACAGGCTTGGCTTGAACCCGCCTATCGAGGTGCTCGCGGTTCTGCTCAAGGAGGAGAAGAAGGGCACTTCTAACATTGAGCGGGCTCACATGGATGAGCTCATGAACTCGACTGCAGTTGGATCTGTGTGAGCAAATGGGTGCTCCAGGTCAGGCAAGACCGATTATATTATTACGAAGCTACTGGCGTTTGGAGTTGAACTGGCTTGAGAACCATCTCGCATCACGAGTATACGAGGCATGGGAATGAGAATTAAGCTGTAGAATAGTCAAAGAAAACGTGCTCGGCACGAAAGTCAACGTCTGTAATTAAACCTCCACTGAAGGTGCATCAGAAGTCTTCTCCAATGGTCTGAAGTAGCTCAGTACCAAATGCTCCTCGTTCTGTGATGGTTCACCGTCTCGGTGCCTGCAGCCTCCAACTCTTTCATGGTATCATACAAAAAGAAATCAATCAAAATGGCGTTGACACTCGTACCGGGGTGGTCCTTTTGGATCTCCCGCTTGATCAACTCGACACACCAGATACTGCATGCTATACCAGAGTTAGCATCTAAGCCCTCGGGCTAGTAGCGTATTTCAACTGACCTCTCATCTGCAGCTCCCATCTCGCTCCGCTCTCCAGAACCCGCTTGGAGTTGATAGCCGTCGCCAGCGAAGGGCTATAGTACAGACAGCCCATGGTGTTGAGGATCTGCGGGACGCGGTAGTCGGCAAACATAGTGATCTTGTCAATGTCCCGGAAGGCGCCGATGCCTTCACCGCCAAAGCAGGCCCAGATATCCGCTACGAGGATTTGGGCCCTCTTGAGGAATCGCACCGGCTTCCTGCGACCCTCAAAGACGTGCTCATCACGGAAGCAGTCGAAATCGCGGGCGAGAAGGTTGACGAGCCTTGCCGCAGAGCCGTTGGCGGCCTCGATGAGTTTTGTGACGCTGCAGTTGTACCTCTCATACAACACCGTGCCAGCCTCACGGAGGCAAGTCAGGCGCTCCTCGAGCAGAGGCATCTCCTCCTCCGTCTTGGATCTGAACACGTGCCTCATGAGCTCCATGTTACACTCATCCTCGCTCTGCCAAAAGTCAGAGCTCGTGATGGGGATGCCCTCTTCGAGAGCCCTCTGCAGCGAAGCGACCATGCTCCAGTAGCCAGTCCAGGTCTTGCCACGGTACTCGACGGCGAACCGCTCATCCTCTGGCTTCTCGGACCAGAAGCAGAAGTTAAGCAGATCCATGGTGAAGATGAAGGCGGCGGTGCTGTCGTCCTTGGTCTTGGGATGCAGCTCGTGCTCGGCCCAGGTGGCCGTCGAGTACTGCTTCTGCTCCATCTGGGCGTAGATTGTGGCAGCAGCACGCTTGGTCGCCCTCATGTCGATGCAGACATCGATGGAGTTGTCGTAGACGTACTCGGCTCCCTCGAGGACGCCCGTCTCAGGCTCGTCGTCGACGTTGAGCTTCTTCTGAAAGTGCTGGCGGAGGAGAGCCAAAAGCTCCGGGTCGGCCTCGTCGTCAGACATGGCTGCGATGTTTCTGCCCCTGACTTGTCCCGGCGTGGCTGGTGCCTCTTGCAGATACGGCTTCTCCTTTGGCCCAAATGCGACTTGCCTTTTTCGTATGCTGCACGAATACGGCCGCCGTGGATGCTGCACCTGGGTGATCCTGATTCTGGGCGACGACTCTGCAATTCTTTCACTGAGGGGACGACGCAGGTTTGAACTTTGGCCTAGGCGGTAGAGGCAGAGAGCCCGCGCCCCATACAGCTGCACTGACCCGTTTGTTTTTTGTTGGATCACCGCTCTATTGCAGGCGGCGATCATCCTAGGAGTGAGGGCCTTGGAGGGGTCTCGTACAATCCCATCGTCCAGTTATTTTCCAACACCGTATATTCGCTGCGCAGAATGGGAAACCCGCGCAATCGGCTGATTGCCATGTGAAAGGGGCTGTACATCAGCTTGCAAAGGCACTGCCAGGAACCGGTGGAGGCCTGACGAACGATCGGTGGTGGGCACCTAAGGCAAGGTGCCGTGTCAGGGCAGCCCTGGAGGCATCAGTCCAGCGTTTCACAGTGGACAGAGGATGCACCAAGCCGCTGAGGTTACAGCGCTCGTCAGTGAGCTCACCTCAGAGTGCAAGCGACGACGCGGGAGGGATCCGCTTAATGTACTCATTCAGACCAATCGCAGCACGAGCGCGGCAGTTCCCCAAGGAAGCTACAGCTCGAATCCCTGCACGATCTCGTCACCGGCTGCCGGTATTGGCTGGAACCTTGATCTGGGCGATCGTTCCTCCCGCTGACCTCTGGGAAAACCTCAACCTGCCTTCCTCTGTGCAGCCTTGCTTCGCACTGAAACCGCCCTCATCCCATCCCACCTAGCGCGGCTGCAAGCTTACACCCATCTTCGCGCTTGCTACCGCACCTCCGATCTCGTCCTTTTCTTCATCATCTCCATTGACTCTTTCCCGACCGAAAAACGACCAGCACCATCGCGCGGAAACGATGGATTCCAACACTGCAGCAGACGCAGCAGCTGCACCTGCGGCAACCACCGCGGAACCGACCGCGCCCCTCGCGACGGCCACAGCAACGGCAACGGCGACAGCGACAGAGACGACCACCGCACCACAACCTCAAGAGCAGCAGCAGCCCGCACAACAGCAACAGCAACCCTCCGCCGCACCTGCAGCGCAGCCTCCCGCGCAAACAGTTCAGAAACCGATTGCCGTTCCCCGGCGTGATAAGTTCTACCAGCAGTCGCTCGGCGGCTCGCTCAACGCAAACGTCAAGAAGGTACGTCGCGGCCCCGGCGCATCAGACCACGCGATCCTTCCTTCCATCGCAACGCCCATCCCACAACTTCCATTTTTGTCCCATAAACTTGCCGAATCATGCAAAAGTGCTGTCGGATGCAATTGAAATGACAATTGAGCTAATCATGGCTGCGCAGGCGCGCGTGTTGATGGTCGGAGCTGGTGGCATCGGATGCGAACTACTGAAGAACCTCGTGCTCACCGGTTACGGCGAGATCCACGTCGTCGACCTCGACACCATTGACTTGAGCAATCTCAACCGTCAATTCCTCTTCAGACACGAGCACATCAAGAAGTCCAAGGCCTTGGTAGGTTTCCTGGCGTAGCAGCCAAGTGTCAGGTGTCGCGGTGCTGACAGGTCGATAGGTTGCCAAAGATGCTGCGCAGGCCTTCAACCCCAAGGTCAAGATCGTCGCGCACCATGCGAACATCAAAGACTCACAGTTTAACACCCGATGGTTCAAAGACTTCAACATCGTCTTCAATGCGCTCGACAATCTCGAGGCCAGACGGCACGTGAACAGGATGTGCTTGGCGGCGGATGTGCCCCTGATTGAGAGTGGCACCACAGGATTCAACGGCAATGTCCAGGTCATCAAGAAGGGTGTTACGGCATGCTACGACTGCACCCCAAAGGAGACGCCAAAGTCCTTCCCAGTCTGCACGATTCGAAGCACGCCAAGCCAGCCCATCCACTGCATCGTGTGGGGCAAGAGCTACCTTCTCAGCGAGATCTTTGGCGCCAGCGAGGACGAGTCCGCGTTCGACAACTCAGCCGATGCCGACAACGCAAAGGAGATTGAGGAGCTGAAGAAGGAGGCCGCTGCCCTGCGCGCCATTCGCGACGCTTTGGGTACTGAGGCATTCCCTCAACTTCTCTTCGACAAGGTCTACAACAGCGACATTGTGCGACTGGCATCGATGGAGGACATGTGGAAGTCGAGGAGAAAGCCTGAGCCGCTTGACTACAAGAAGCTGTTGGAGAAATCTACTGAAGCTTCGGGTGCGAAGGCGTCGATCCTGCAGGAGGGCCAGAAGGTGTGGAGCTTGGAGGAGAACTTTGCCGTCTTCGTCGACAGCTTGGATCGTCTTAGCAAGCGTATGCAAGACCTGAAGAAGGCGCACCAAAACGGAGGAGACGAACCTCTGATCACCTTTGACAAGGATGACGAGGACACCTTGGATTTCGTGACGGCAAGCGCCAACATCCGCTCTTCCATTTTCGGCATCGAGCGCAAGTCTCGTTTCGACATCAAGCAAATGGCAGGCAACATCATCCCAGCGATTGCCACGACTAATGCCATCGTTGCTGGTCTGTGTGTCCTTCAGTCGTTTAAAGTCCTGAAGGGTGAATACACTAATACTAAGGAGGTAAAGTTTTGTCTTCTCCAGCGGTGATTGGAGTTGCGGTCTAATGTCTGTATAGGTGTTCATCTCCCCTCACAACCCTGCTCGTCTGCTCAATGCGACCAAGTACCGGGCCCCTAACCCGGAATGCCCAGTCTGCAGCGTTTACCAGACGACTGTCTCCGTCGACATGTCTAGAGCCACATTGAAGGACCTCGTTGAAGACTTTGTGCGCCTGGAGCTTGGATATGGCGACAAGGAGTTCGCCCTGAACAATGATGCTGGCCCCCTTTACGACCCTGATGAGACCGAAAACCTGTCCAAGAAGCTCAGTGAGCTTGGAATCACAGAAGACACTTTCCTTACTGTTATCGACGAGGACGACGACGAGCCCTTCGTCAACGTTGTCATCAGCATACAAGAATCGTGCGTCCCCCTCATACTATTGTCTTGAATCTTAGCTAACCCCTTGCAGCAAGGAGCCTCTGGAGGATAAGCCCGTTAAGGGCATGACCGCGGATCAAAAACCCGAGATCCCTCGTAAGCCAAAGAAGGAGACACCTGCGCCGGCGGCGGCAGAGTCCAATGGTACAAGCCAGCAGAACGGCAAGCACTCGTTGGATGTCTCGGAAGAATCGCCAAACCTCAAGCGGCCGCGGCCTGACGATGGAGATGAACCGATCGAGGCTAAGAAAGCCAAGGTCGCAACGACTAGCAGCAGTGATGATGTGGTCCTCGTAGATGATTCTACGGGTGGAGCCATCGTCATTGACGACTGATATTGCAAGGGTCTGTTGATTTGAAGCCAGGTGTGTCTCTCCACAACCTAGGGAGCTCTAGCTCGTCAGACTGCACTTAGCCCACCATCCAGGTTGAGGACGCAGTTATTGGCGTAGGTGTTTTGGGCCAGGAAGACGGCGGCGTCTGCTACCTCATCAGGTCTACCCAGCCGCCCAAGTGGGATTCGCTTTTCGAGGGGTTCTCTCGACATTGCTGTAATTTGTATATTAGCACCGTTCTGATCAGGAACATTGGCTTACTGGGGTTTCGGAAGCCTAGCTTGCGGATAAGAAATAGGGCGAGGATATGTTTCTTACAGGCAAGCATATTGGTTTCTATGTAGCCGGGAACTATGGCGTTGGTCCTGATTCGCAGTGGCCCCAGCTCAACGGAGAGAGCGTGGGTGAGACCTTTCGGCAGATTAGATTTGGTCCACGACAAACGGGGCGAGGAGGCAACAGATAGACCTCTCGGAGACGTGCGATGAGGAACGAAGCCAAAGAGAAAGATAAAACATACCAATAATGCCAGCTTTCGACGCTGCGTACACGCTGGTGCCGGGGCTGCCCTTTTCGGCGAGCAAGCTCGCAACGTTGATAATGCATGCTAAAAGGTTCAGGAGCAAGTCAGCTGGGTTGCTCAGTGCTTTGCAAAGGCACACTCTGTGCGGGAGCGATCGGATCGATTATGTGGCAAGTATGCCATGACTTACCATCCCTGTCTGCGCGCCTGCGCTTCATGCGTTGGGCCACGTACCTCGACATGAAGATGGTTCCCATGAGGTTGGTGTCGAGTAGCTCGCTGGCGGCTTGGGGTGAGGTATTCTGTAACAGCTGGAATTGCGCAATACCCGCGGCGTTGACAAGGACGTCTATCTGGCCCGTCCGTTTCTGTGGGCGACCCATTCTCCTCTGTTAGTGGATGACGACACGCGAATGAGGCTGTCTAGCTAGCTAGTGAAGCAAGAGATATATATGGCTTCTGCCATGATGCATTGAAAGGAAAGAAATAAGAAAGAGAGGGAGGTCGAACCCAGATGTCGTCCAGTACGGCTTCATCGCGGCCTTGGGCGGATACATCCATGACGGCGTACGAGTGCGCCGGGGGCTTCTCATCCAGAGATGGACGGGTGTTGGTGTTGGGTGCGGCGGTGAAGGGGGCGAGTCGGGTGTCCCGGAAGGGTGGGAGCTGGGAGCAGAGCTCGCGCAGCTTGTCTTCCTTGCGGCCGAGCAGGGTCACAAGGGCGCCCTCGGCGGCGAAGCGGGCGGCGATCGCGGCGCCGATGCCGCCGTATGCGCCGGTGATGAGGGCATGGCGGGCGCGGAGGGGGAGGAGGACGCCGGACATTGCTGTTGGTGGGATGGGTGGATGCGTCAATGGTACGCGGCCCCTGAGTTTGCGCGTTTGGGAAGATTGAGGTTGCCCGTATACTGCGTACTACGCAGCACTCGGGATGTTGGGGGTCACGAGTTGCGTGTGTGAATGAGTTGGTTTGGTTTGATGGATATGGAGACGTTTACGAAGACGGTGGGGAGCTCTCTGGGTTGAGGCGGGACACGGCACTGGATGGAGGTGTGGGGTGTGTGTCTGAGTCTAAATTTTGGATGTTGGTGTTGGTGGGGTGGAAGCGAGGAAGGGATGGAAGAATGTCCCGAGGTGGAAGATGGACAAGGTTGAACGGCTGAAGATGTGCGAAGTCAGAATGTCGTATTGGCCGTTTTCGGTTTGTTCACCAGCACCCAAGGTTGGGCGGGGAGTGGAAGAAAGCTAGAGGGACAGCAAGATAGCTCTTGTTGATCCTTCATGAAGCTCTCGGACGCCGAAGCTGATTCAATGCAACATGCGCAATCTGAAATCGCAGGGTGGGGGGGGAAGAGACACGAGTAGCAACAAGACAGGAGGCTTTCAGCTTCTCCAAGAAACTGGGATGGACCTGGTTTCGGGGGTCTTGCTTGGCCGGGCGTTGAGGGGGAGTTTGGGCGGAGGATGATAATGGCATTATTTGCGTGTCTCAATTCTGGCATTGCTGGAGAAGGAATCTGATTCCGAGGTCTTTGTGGCTTTCCGTCTGGATTCTTCGATCCCATGTTTCTAGCTCTCAGATGGTGAGACAGACGTCTGCTGAGGTGACCGTCATTGTACTCCACCTCGCCTCGAGTACTCGAGGTCTAATCTATTCATGGTGTTGGAAAGATAGAAATGAGGATACCTTTCTGTTGATCTCTTGGAGATTGTGTGAAGCGGGGGCGGAGTGTGGAATGAGTACCTCCTCGGGCTACCCAGATAGATGGTGAAAAGTAAGTCAGGCACATGTCTGGCGCGGATGAGGCTTGAAGCTCCCGTCTCGCGTCCACATGCGCCCACCTGCAACGGTTAGACGGACCATTTCTACTCAGTACTGACACCTCTTGGGAGGTTAAAGTCTTCTGGACTGATCCCTGTGTGGCCTCCCAGAGTAGATACCTTGGGGAAAAGTACCGTCGACTTTGCATCTGAATCTGCCAAAGACGATTGGCAACAGCGGGCTGGGGAGCTAAGATACGCCCCGCTGTCGTTGTCGATTCTAGGACGTGGAGCGATGCAGCGAATGACAATGGGGCCTGTCGCATCGCTGTGCCTGTCGCTAGTTAGCGGATTGGATGCAACCTGATTGATTGATTGTTCTTCTGTGACGTCTAAGAGAGCTGCCTCTGCGGTCGTAGTCGCCGCTAACGCGCGATAGCTAGAGGCCGTTTCTCATATGATTGCTGTACCTCTCCAAGGTGAGGTACCTTGGAGGTTCCTTGGGCACCCGTGTAACGAACCTAGATAGGTCAGGTATGCAGACGACAACCCGGCGCCTCGGTTGGTTCCAACGAACGTTGGAGGTGTCGAGGTACCTTGCGGCAAGTACCTCCCACACCACCACCACCACGCCAGTGGTTCCAGTTCAGGTTCCAGTTACAGTTCCACGTCCTGTCCATTATGGTGCGAACGCAACATCGCAATCCCACCACTACTGCAGCTGCAAATTTCCCTTTCCTCTTTTTCCTGCTCTACATACCTCACACGTTTGTCTCTCTTCCATCTGCGCCCAAAACTGCCACTCCTCGGTACGCTGGTCACCTTACCACGCTCGTTTCCCGGAGCAAATGCAAAGTCTCCTGCCGAGGCGCCGTGCAATCGCAGAAGCATCACCTCCGAGTCCTCGTCCACCACCACCCTAGGTAGCCAGACTGCCCGTCGCCGCCCGCCTAATACCGACCCCGAACTATCACGATCCACACCGAACGCCTGCCAGCTCAACCCGCCGACCCAGAGTCGAATGGCCGTATGCCTCACGATCGCGACATCCGACAACGCCTGATGTCTGGTCATACCAATGGCGCCGCATCGGCGCCAAACCCCGCCTCGCCCAGAGACCCGTATGCCGAGAAGCTCGATGCCTTCCCCGAGTTGCCTGCTGCGCCGCCGCCGCCACCTACAATCAACGTCGTCAAGAGCCCCAGCGACGCGCCCGACGCCGGACTGAGGAGCCTGGATCACTGTACGCTACACTCTGTCGTCTGGTTCAGCTGTCTGCCGTGGCCAGGAGTCTTGCGACCGGCCTGGAGAGAGCGGGGCTGTTGGATCGCGAGTAATGACGGCCTGAGCTGACATTATGCTTCTTCACAGATAAGAGGGCGCTGCCGACATGGCGATACAGACTGCGCCAGTGGATGCTGCCGCTGATCCGATGGGAGACGCCGTACTTGGCTTACTTGCAGGAGACGATGCGCACGCCTTGGCTCGATAGTTATTTTGCGATCACGGCGAACCTCGGTACCCATACCTTCTTCATGATCGGCCTGCCCATGCTCTTCTGGTGCGGCTACGCCTCCTTCGGCAAAGGGTGAGGATATCCCAAGTTTCTGTACAACGCATGCAGGCAGCCAGCTGACTATTTTGCCAGTGTTATTCACATTCTCGCCGAGGGCGTCTTCTTCACTGGTTTCATCAAGGATCTCTTCTCTCTCCCGCGACCTCTGTCCCCGCCCTTACATCGAATCACCATGTCCGGTTCCGCTGCTCTAGAATATGGATTCCCTTCGACGCACAGCGCAAATGCTGTGTCCGTGGCTGTATATGGAATTCTGGTGCTTCGGAGCCCTGATACAGTGCTACCAGACACAACCAAGAACCTCCTCGAAGGCTTGTCGTACTTTTACGCGATCTCCATCGTCTTCGGTCGTCTGTACTGCGGCATGCATGGATTCACCGACGTCGTTGTGGGATCCGTCCTGGGCGCCGCCATTTCTCTGGTTGAGTTCCACTACGGCCCGGCTTTGGATGCGTATATGCACAGCAGCTCCTGGTGGGCACCCGCCATTGCTGCTCTGATCATCATTGCGCTCGTCAGAATACACCCCGAGCCAGCGGACGACTGTCCCTGCTTTGACGACAGTGTGGCCTTTGCCGGTGTCGTGATTGGCCTGGAAATCGGAACCTGGATGTACGGCCGTACCTCGCTGGACTCGTTTGGGGGTAATGCTCACAGCGTCCAATCCATTGACCTCAATGCTCTGGGCTGGCACGTCGTCCTCGCTCGGGTCATCTTTGGTGTACTAGTCATTTTCGTCTGGCGAGAGGTCATGAAACCTACGTTGCTCAAGGGCCTGCCACACATCTTCCGTCTCCTGGAAAAGGTTGACATGAATCTTCCCAGACGATTCTTCACCCCTGCGTCCAAGTACGAGACTGTCGACCCAGGATCTCGTATGGATACCCTCATCCCCTCAGTCAGGGACTTTCCCCGTGTTGTCCAGTCCATCCGTCACCCGACCACGCGCGGTCGGTCCGTATCAATCGGTCCGCAGAGTGCTGCTGACGCCTACGAGACGCTCGCCTACCGCGAGCGTAGGCGGCGGGAGAGCATCGGCAGCAATGGTAGTGTTAAAAGCAAGGGTAGCATGTTCGAGCTTCGGGAGAAGAACGGGGACTGGGAGGGGAAGGGAGCCGCTTCGGGCGTGCAGGGCTACAATACGCTCAACGACTTTGAGCGGATGATGGGCACTGGCAGCGTGTTGGCGAGTCCAAACGAGGAGAAGGAAGGGATGGACTTGGCGGTCGGCCAGCAGGACGAGCTCAGCGAGAAGGAAATGTTCTTGCGTCTTATCCGGCCTCGAGTGCGTTACGATGTCGAGGTCGTTACAAAATTGGTGGTTTACACAGGTACGTTGTTGCAACCCTCTTCCGCAAGATCCGGATATCCTGGTGTCATTTGCAGGTGCTGACAGCTGGCACAGGTATCGCGTGGCTGGGCGTTGGCCTGATCCCTATCATGTTCGAGTTGGTCGGCATGGGATCTGCCCATCTTCGCAATCCGTAATTCGGACAATTCTTTCCGGGTTATCTTGGACGCGGAGAGCTTGCGTTTGTGTTTCTCACCGAAAAGATACCATCTCTGAAACCTTTCTTTTCTCCTTGCATGATGCATCGGCAGATAGGTGCTTGACTCACCACGCCCAAAGCTGGAAAAGGGGGCCGTTTGCCTCGCGAAGCTGTTTGATGACGAGAAAAGGGGACGGCATAGAATTTTTTATTTTTTTTTGACGAAAGCACGACCGTATCTGTATTCTTCTGCATCTACCCCGGGCGGTTTTCGATATTTTGAGGGACTTTGTTGACAGAGGGAGGTTGGCCTTTGTGCGCATGTCCTGTTCTAGGCGTTTTTCTGGGAAACCTGTTCTTGGGGAGATGATGCCGGGATCAGGTAATAATCGAGTGTGTATCAGTAGAGATATCAAAGCCGAATGGAAAGCCTCTTTTTATCTCGAGTTACATCGGGTGGTCTGCCCCGTCAACCTGTAGGTTCTGGAGGATCGCTGGCTGTGAGACGTGCGTTTGGATGCCTGAGAGAGTGAGAATGGATAGGTGAGACCCACGACCGCCACGTTGACTTGCCAGTTCTAGCGCGTGCTTTTTGCATATCCCCTCGCTTTTTGTCTCCTTCATCTACCGTCGTCGTCACCCGCCTGCCCATCGTCGATGGCACAAGCTGGGGAGAATCATGCCAACTAGATGTCTCTCCTTGTTTACGAGGGCACTGCCACGCCATATCCAAGTACCTTGATGGCCCCAGATGAGAGATAACATCTTTGTTCCTCGAGTCTGATCTCACCTCCTCGGTGCTGGCCTCTTTACGCCCCTCGAAGAGACGATACTGGACCGATATCCTGGATGTACCGTTGCGTTATTTCCATCTTTCTCGTCACTAAGTTCGCATCTAAAGAGGGCTTTTCACAAATTTGGGCCACTCTCGATGCTGGAGAGGAGGACTTTGAAGCCAGGTATTCCTTATCGCCTGTCCATCACTTCGCAACGGAAAC